TGGATCGCATCGCATTGTATGCCCTCCCTCACTCCTCACATTGCATGATCATACAGACATAAACACATAGTGAAAAGTGTGTTATACAATGATGAAAGGAACACCTTGAAAATAAATTTGAAAGAGATTATTATCTTCCCAACATTTCCTAAAAATGAGGCTATATTATCACCTCATTTTTAAAAGAAAATTAGTAGCAAGAATTGTTTTAACCAACAATAAGAATTTCCTTAACCAATAACATGCTTTATAGTCTAAATGAGGAGAAAATAAGCAAAAGAAATTACCCCCTCTTATACAACACCCAAAACATGTGTCTGCCAAATGGCATGGTCATAAAACCTTAGTTTAAATGATTGAAGGGGGAAGGGTTTGAGCGGAAATGGGAAGAAAATGTAAACACCACAAATTGTTAAGACAAGAGTTCTCTCACCTTTACAGCCAAAAAGCAGCAGGGAATTGGCACAAGATCCCTTATACCCCCCAAATTATCCTCTTTCAATTCTTAAATCAACCAGAGGCATTGGTTTTCAAGGTTTTGCCCTTTGTGATGGTGCTTATTGTTACTGTTTTTAACGGTGTCTTTTACAGTTCTGAATTTATTGGAAGAAAAACCTCCAATAAATGGTAAGCATATTTCTTAGATGACTCCATATCTCAAATTCAGAAATAGTTTCTACCAACACAGTACTTTTGAGGGGAAAGGTTTGATGTAAAGTGCTACACTGGCAAATTAGTGAAATTTGGTGCTTATAGAGAAGTAAAGCTTCCTGAACCCTTTGATTTCCTATAATCTTAATTGAAGTTAATGGAAACACAATAGCATTTACTCAAAAGGAAAAAGTTGAGGTGGTAGGGAGGTCAAAGTTAAGCAGAGAACAGATAATTACTTATAATTGGGTCTACAATCCCAAACCATTTAGGCTGACAATGTGACAATCCAGATCCTATACTATTTTACTGGAAAATAAACCCATGGAATAAACTCAGTGAGATTTACTCCCAAGCAAGGTATGTTGGTTAGTTATTATACAGCATGTTCTATTGGCATCTATCAAGTCCCAAAGCCCTGTTTTATCAAGATCATGTATCCAAAAAGTTGCATACTCTTATACTGCAAATGGAAGCTCTTAAGAACAAGGAAGGAAGGAAGGAAGGAAGGAAGGAAGGAAGGAAAGAAAGAAAATTTAATATGCCAATCAGATTTTTCCCAATCTTCCCCAATATAAACTAATATGTTTATATTAGTTTTCACTGACAAAAATGATAACTACACCAACCTCATCCAAAATTAAATCATTCATTCGTGTCAGGACTTTTTATGTAATGATCCTTGTCAAGGAAATATAAAGATTATTTTAAAAATCTTTCATTATGAACACCATTAGGCTACCTTGAATTTAATTTACTAATTTCCCTTTTCCTGAGGAGATCAAAGAAATAGGAGTCTTTAAAAATATTTTTGGGAAACAGATCTGTGTCATCTTTATTCTATTTCAAAAATCTAATCTTTATCAAGGTTCAAGAAGTAATAAAAATATATTTCTAGGAATCAGGTTTCTGTCGATGAAGTTCAACTCATAGGTGAATTGGAAATAAAACAAGGCATACATACAAAGTGTACTTGTATGGATCCCACAATGTGTGTGAGAGTTGCATGCCCTCAAAAAACCTTACATAGCCTAAGTAAATTAAGGGAAAGAGAAGTACACATACTTATTTTCTACCAGAAAATCCTAAATTCTATATTCTATGGCCATAAACTTTCACATTTTTTATTTTTTTTGGTGGACTGTGGCTAGGAAAGCAACAACAAGTGGGTATTTGCAGCTATGTGGATAAAAAGAAGGAAGGAGGAATTCTAGAGAAAGGGAGATGATATAATTGTTACAGCAAAGGGGAAAATGTCCTGAAACCAAATGCTTAAAGGGGGGGGGGGAGAGAGAGAGAAAGAAAAGAAGCTAGAGGAAATGGGAAAGTGTGGATTAAAAGCAAAGTGTCAAATTATTTATTCAGAGCTTTTTAAGATAACAATCTTGCTTGGAATTGCTTATATCTATGATGCTACCTTAATCATTCTTAGATCCTTGATAAGGATTTTAATTACTAAGTTTTCATCACCTCTAGAAGGTGAATCTGCAGATTACTACTAATAACAACAATAATAAAGCTAGTCTCAGGGAATACACATTGTTAAACCATTCTCACCCTTGCACCTCTGATTCCTAAAGGTAGCTCACAAAAGTCAATCCCACACATTCTGATAGAAGTCTGTCCTTAAGCAGTCATGCTTAAGCTTCTGACATCAAAACACTCCCAAGAATTCAATACACCCACAAAGTGCTTACAAGGCTCATAGGTTGGAGTGAATACATATAAAGCCCTCTCTCTCTAACTCACAAAGTTATTGGTGTGTCCCTCTATGCTACTCTATGCTACATTTCAGCAAAGCATAATGCTTTTAAAAACAAAAATTATTGTGGGCCACACTCAGGTAATTCAGGGGCCTTGGCGATGGCGGTGTTCTCACTGAGATTTTATGCAGAAGAAAGTTTCCAAGGGAGACAAACCCCTCCTTCTAGGCCCTGCTCCCCGCCCTCCCCCTCCGCCCCATCTGTAACAACCTGCTTCTTTAAAACTCATTTAAGCAGATAGTATTTCAAGAGAACTTACTTTAAGGTTAGCAGCTCCTAAGTCCTCTTTGGAGTAAACAGTGCACCGTCAATGCTTCCTATTTCTGCAATGGAGCTGCCTTTATCTGCCTGGAAAAGTGTTCTCCCTTTCCTGCCCCCTTCCAAGCCAAAGCAGGCAGTTAAAATGTCACTTAACATTCTGGAGAATGTGAAATATATTGTACATTGTCAACTCCCCAAAACCATAAAACTAACTTTATGGACCTCACGTGACTTTTGAGAGCCAGTGAGGGGTATCTGGCTGAGGTCTGGGCGATTTTTACGATCTAACTTCTAGATAAAACCCTATCCATTTGACATCTTAATGTCACAGCCACTTTGGTATACTTACTTACTTTACTACGGGTAAAATATATACATGCGTGCATGTATGTGTGTGCCGCACAGGGCGGGTGTAGTGTGTCTATGTATATTCAAGAGAAGCCAAGAAAGTGGGTTGTTTTGGAAATGACAACTCACACCCCAGCCCTCTCAAAACCATTTTAAGAAGTAACCAAACAGTTTGGGGTAAGTTTGTAAGACCAATTTTACTTCCTACAAGAGTGTCAGGGGGGGGGGGGGGGGAGGGAAGGAGGGAGGGAGAGAGAGAGAACATTGCTGTAAGCTATAATGTAAGAATATCAAAGACTACTTATTTCCCTGTTACAACATACTTTAATCATAGCACTGTGATTTAAGGGAGGAGAGAAAGAAAAGAAAGTTAGATTAGTAGATTAATTTTTAAAGGGAAAAAGAAAAATTGCCTCATGCATATTGTTTATATTAGCTCTATTGAGACAACTGTGATTTTCCATCCTGAATGCATTGTGTGTATGTGTATAATATTTGCAGCATTGTGTAGAAGCAAACATAACAGACAATAACATATGTACTTGGCTCTAAAATTTCACTGGCATGTTGTCATTCTGTGATAACTTCAGTGGCTCCCTAAATGCTTGGTTTGTGGTCTTTGAAACTGTAATCTGAAGCACATTTACTTGGAAGTAAAGGCCTTAAAATTATATATATATATATATATATGGTCAAGAAAATGCTCAAAGTCTTAGTCCAAGGAGGAAAGGAATTTTTGAGAATCGAACCCGCTGATTTCTCTTCTTTTTTCTGAGTTGTGCTAGTTCAGCATCTAATACCGCTTACAGGGGATGGTTTTGTATCCTTGGCTCATTAGAGATTTTAGGGGACTGGGACAAAGACCCCCAAGGAGAACCTGGAAGCTGGGTCAAGCGGTGGGTGAAGAGTATACACTTTCTCTCTGGGCCTCTTCTTAAAATGTAGATTTTGCTGATGAGTAACTTTAATGCTGTGACTTGTGAAAATGGTGAAATAAAGAAATGCAAAGAAGGCCACTATTTTTCTGGCCAGGAGAAACGTTTATTTGACTTCAAGTTAAGGCTACAAACCAATACGAACAGCTTCTTGGCAAGGATGAGAACAGGCAGCTAGACATGACAAATGCCATTTCAGACACACAGAAACACTGAATTCACCCTGCCCACTAAAACTTCCTATTAGTCACTGTAGAAATATTTCTAGTATTTACAAACATTTTAAACATACTATGGTTGGTCCAATCATATACCCTTTTAAAGTGAACTTCACTCACAATTATTTAAAAAAGAAAGAAGGAAAGTTTCAGAACTGGCCTGGAATAAAAACAAGGCCAGGAATCAAATCACAGACTTGACAATTTCAAAGACAGATACATGAGCTTATATAGAGAGATATACTGGTGGTTTTTTTTTTTTTTAAAAAAAAAGTTTGTTGTGGTTGATGGTTTTAATTTTCTTTCTTTTCTTTTTTTTTTTCCTGCTACTGAACTGCAGGAGCCCCCCAAGGTGAGTAGAAGGAAAAGAGTTAGGGTTCCACACAAAGTTGTGAACTTTTAAGAACCCATCTTTCATTCCCCATACTGGCTTATAAATAAGTTATAACATTTAGAAAGCACAATAAAAGAAAGAAAAGAAAAGAGAAAAGAAAAGGACATGCTAACTTTTTCCAGAAAGCATCATTATAGCACGGACACAAACATTTAGAACATCTAAAGCATCAAAGAAGCCTCAGGATTTTATCTTTTAATTTAAAGGGGGTGATTGCAGCAAAAGACACAATCCTGGAATAATAGTACCCATGAAATTGTTAATTATTATTATTAATAATAATAATAATTTAAAAATCAACAGCATGCTGAATGGAAAGTGCTTCACTTTACAGTACTCCAAACTTAACAAAAACAAATGTGGCTGTTGCTTTGCGTTTGCTTGCTTGTTTTAAACTTTCTTACTTCCTGCCCCCTCTTTCCTATTTCTTAATATTCCTCCTTGATATAATTTATGGCTGAAAAGCACTGCCACCAGATGCTAAGCTCATACTTTTAAGTTTGTTATCTTTCTTCCACTTCATTCGCCTGTTTTGGAACCAGATTTTTATCTGTCTTTCGGAGAGACACAAAGCGTGGGCTATTTCTATTCGCCTTCTGCGGGTGAGGTAGCGGTTAAAGTGAAACTCCTTCTCCAGCTCCAAGGTCTGGTAGCGAGTATACGCCGTTCGGGCTCGTTTGCCATCCGGTCCGGTCATATCTGAATAATAATAACAACAGGACATGGGAAAAAAATGCCTTTTGTTGGTCTGGTTTCTCTTTTTAGATCACAGGCACAGAAAGAAACCGCGCTTTCAACTGTTTCCTCCTCGGTCGCCTTACACTGCAGACAAACGCCCCAGCGATTTGAGCGCACAGCTTCTCTGCGTCTGCGTTTCTTCCAAGTCAATATCCTTCGTTTTACTCTGGCTCCAGCCTTAATTCTAATTAATTTAAAGCCATGCCCCACTCTCCTTCTCACACTCCCTATAGCCCTGTATCTTTTTCCAGGAGTCGAGAACATGGTTCTCTAACACAACCTGATTCTACGCAGCTTTCTTCGGAGGAAATTGCTGCTCTTGGGGGCCTGCCTCGCAGTTCAGGGAGTCTGGTCTCGGAGGACAATCTCGGAAACCCAGCCCCTTCGTGTCTCTCTCGGCCTATTTTATCCTCCAGTCCAATTCGACTGGAGATCGAAACAGGCCGGTTGGAAGACTGAGAACCGACCCTCCTAGGCATTGCGCCTTCCTTTAACACTCCCCAACGCCAGTCTCGGCCACATTTCATTGGAAGCAACTTCCGCTGAAACCCTTAGGGCTCCCTTTCCCACCCAAGGGGAGTTAGCCTCGGCGTGCGGAGCAAAGGCAGTTCTTGCTTCCAGCTCTGCGGCGCGCACATTTCTTTCATTTTTACCCCAAGGGTTGAAGGGAGAGGCAAAGAGTTTGTCGCCGCCGCATTTCTCCCTTGCAGACGGGGAAATGTGGGGCGGAGGGGGAGGGGGAGGAAGAGAGGTTGGCAGACACATCCGTGCCCCCAAACAGTCTTCCTGTTTTAACCCTTCGCCTCATCTTTCCCATTTCTTTGTGTGTGTCTCTGAGTGTGTGTGTGGTTTTTCCCCCCCAATTCTTCCTACTTTCAAACCATTTCCCACCCTCCTGGTACAAGGCTATTACAAACGCCATTCTTACTTATTGTTACAGCTTGACTTTTGTCGTGCTGGTAAAACACTATTTTTAAAAAACGGAGTGAACCTGGATTTTTTTTTAAGAGAAGAAAATACTCTTTAAGAATTGAACATCATAGTGAAAGAAAGAGACACTGAACGCAAATAGAAAAGGGCATATATAGACAGGAAAGTGGTTTCACAATGCGGTTGGATTCCTTCTCCCGTCGCCAAAGCAAATACGCCCTGCCAAAATCCTGTTTTGTGTGTATGTGTCTATGTATGAACACACACACACACACAAACACACGCACGCACATACACCCAGATTACAGACTCAGAGAGACAGACAGAAGGCGCAGGCACACATCCCATAGATCACCCCAGCCAAATTAAAAAGGAGCAAGTCTGTACCGTGGCTAATGTGAAGCTTTCGCATCCAGGGGAATATCTGCGGGCTTTGTCCTTCCGTGGCCGGCGTGGAGGTGGCGATCGGCTCTGCCTGAGCTCGGGCGCCGTTGCTGTTGACTTGGGAGCCGCTCTCTTCGGGCCCCGAGGACGCGCTGGTCTCGTCTATCTCGGCAAATGCGGTGGCGCTGGCCGCGCCAACAGAGGCTGCCTGGTCGGCAGGGGAGGACCCGGCTGCCTTGCCTCCATGGCTTTCGCCACCGCCGCCGCCGCTGCCGCCGCCGCCGCTATTGCTGGTGCTGCTGGAGCTGCTGGTGCAAGGAAGGGATTCGGGAGAAGACAAGGAGCAGCTGGACGCCTGTCTGAACCTGCTTTCGGGCGCTGCTTGGGCAGGGAAGGCGCGAGAGCTCTCCCCAACCGCCCCAAAGTGGCTGGAGGAGGAGGATGATCGGCTGATGCTCAGATCCATTCCATTGTAGTTGTATCCCCCGTAAGAGCCGGCGTGCATGTTGCCTGGATCTCTATAAGATCCGTTCATGGAACTGCCGGCCCCATAATTTAACAGCTGATAGTCTGGGGCATTAGGATAGCGTCCTGAGAACGAGTTTACAAAGTAAGAACTCATTTGGGTTTGTATTTTGGAGGGCTTGATTTGTGGGGCTCGTGGTCGTTATAACCCCTGTGCTTGAGGATTTATGATGTATTAATGAATTATAGCGATGCACTGTACTTCGTTTTGCTATGTATGCGGCCAAATATGGGGGTGGGGTGGGGGGTGCGTTTGGGAATCACGTGCTTTTGTTGACCAGTCGTAAATTCTCACTGATGACCTCAAGAGGCAATTCATGCTCTATGGTTACAAATAATGACGATCTGAGAATCGTTAGGCCCATGTCAATGCGCCGCTTCCAAAGAGGGAGGAAAGAAGGGGGAGGAATCAGCCAGCACAGATTGCTCCTTGTTGGCATTGTGCGCCACCTACTGGGCAAATAAAAAAGTAGCCGACAAGGGAGGTTACCTCACTCACCTTTTTAAAAAGTAGTTAAGCGCTCAGTTTTTGTGTCCTCTGCCTTTCTAGAAATAAAATGTTTTTTTCCCCAAAAAGTGTCGTTTCTGTCTTTGTTTCTCTATTTTCTCTCTTTCTTCCAGAGGAGAACATGTGGAAAATAAATTTTCTTATTATAGTAGATGCAGTGTAAAATTGTTGCTATTACTATTATGAATAATAGTTGTTTAATACCAAAAAATAATTCCAGTGTTTTTGCTTTTATATTAGAAACGGTTATTCAGGGAAAAATTTATTCCGATGTAAATCAAGATGAAAATTCCTCCTTCTCCCTTTCCTGTTTTTTATTTGCATCTCCTACTTAGGAGTCACTATCAACATCAAAGCTTGCTTGAATGTTTTTGCATTATTATTATCATTATTATAGCATTATTTCTACTACTCTTCCTACACCTTAATACCAGTGCAAATAACAGAAGGGAAAATCAACTTATCTTGACATTACGTGTGTCTTTCCACCCCCCAAATAATTAGCAATATGATGAATTGTACGACTGGCAATCTCTTGAGGGAACTGTTTCAAATGAAGAGACTTCTCAACGTTCATATAAATTACTAAAATATTTGATAATGATCAACTTTATAATGAAGGGCCAGATTTGAATTTGGAATAGTTTGTTTTTCTCCAGCCATGTCACTATTTTCTTTTCCATTCTTCTGCTAACCTACAAGAATTTACAAAAAACAGCTTGCAGGTCATTGAAAATTATGAGCCATATTGAAACTGGCACATAATCATAATAATCAGAGCTATTCAAAAGTGTAGCAATAAGAATAAGTATTACGCAGTTGCAAGACTCCAGATTACATGATTTCATTGTATGTGTGGCGAGAAGGAATGGGATTTGACATGAGAGTGTATTAGAAAGGAAATTAATGTTTCGCCACTTTTTCCTGTTTTCAAAAAACAAAAATCAGGTATAGCTATTAACAGCTTGCTAGGGACAACAACAAAGAATTGTTAACCTTCCTTAAGTAATCAATGAAGGAAAGGAAAGGGAAAAGAAAGTTATAGGGAAAATAGATTCAAGGTTCTCTTCTTTTTTAAAATACCACCTGAATATTTTCTTTTAAATCAGTTATTTAACTCCCTTTTCTTTTGATCGCAGAACATTAATAGCTCACACTCTCATATTTTAGCTTAATATGAAGTGAGATATTAAGGCTGGTTAAAGGGATTGGGAAGGGGATTGGGAGATTTACCCTAAGAGGAACTTGAGACAATGTTTGAGAAAGGCTATGAAAATGTTATGTGTGTTTTAGCAGATGTAGAATGGGACAGAGAATTATGCCTGTTTCTTTGATTTATTATATGTGTGGTGTGCACCCCACATAACTCTTTTGTGCAGTAACAATCAAAAAAAATCCATATTAAAGTTAAATGTCAGCTCCAATATATTCTTGATGAAAAGGTCTTTTATTTAAGTTTAGGCTAAGCAAGAGGAAGTGCATATGTGGGGGGGGGGGGGGGGGCTGAATATATCTTTCATCCTCTAACTTCTGTAGCATTTAAGGAATTATTTGCCTGTCCAAATTAAGGAAATCGCAGGTTTTTAAAACAGGTTTTTAAATTTATTTTTAACTATACCAACCATATACCTCATGTAGATATAGATATATTTCTCAGAAACGATGTGGAGAAAAGGGAAACACATCCTAAATTATGAACATAAGAAGTGTTTTTCTCAACGTATTTGTTTTCATCTTTTTTATTGTATTATAGGTCTTTTAAAATCTCCATAGCTAACACAAACTACAAATACAACACTATACAAATTGTAATAAAATAAAAACGATTAAAAAAATTCTTTAAAAAAAATCCACCATACTTTTTAGGTTGCAATTGTTTTTTTTTTAATATAATTTTGTTTAAAACAATAATCCTTAAATGACAGAACCCAGGGCTTGATTAACTTAATTTTATATAAAAAAAAACAAATAAGTAAAATCGTGCATGACACTTCTGTTTTACAAAATAAAGACAATCAAATAGCCCCAAACCTGACACATATATTGCAGCACCTCCACTTAAATACAAGGGTTAACAAGAATCCTAAGGAGGACACCCAAAGGTAAATCAGGCAAAACAAAACACAACCACAATCCCATTTGTGGCAAAGGGAAAGGTCAATAAAGAGAGGGAAAATAAATTGGACTAGAAACATGGTTATGATACGATAAATTCAATAATCCAATGCAAGTGAGGATGTAAAAGGACAACACCGCCATATAGTCTCAGATATTTTACAAAATGTTTGTCCCAGTTGTGCCTTTTGGGTGGGAGGAGTTGTCATTTCTGGAGCTCCCCAACTGTTGACATTCTGCTTTCTTCCCCATTCAATCATTCATTCATTCATTCATTCATTCATTCATCTGCATTCATTCGGGCTCTCGAGCTCTCTTTCTCTCCCCCCCATCTCCTTCTGCTCTTTCATTCCGTTGGTTTCTCCTCTTCTTCCTCGGCGCTCAGCTGAGTGGAGTTAAGGAGCTTATTTTCCTTTTTCCATTTCATCCTTCGGTTCTGAAACCAGATTTTTATCTGGCGCTCCGTCAGACACAGGGCGTGAGCGATCTCGATGCGTCGGCGCCTGGTCAGGTAACGGTTAAAATGGAATTCTTTCTCCAGCTCCAGAGTCTGGTAGCGAGTATAAGTCTGCCGGCCTCGCCTGCCACTCGGCCCAAAGGAGGAACCTGGTGGGGATGTAGAAGAAGGCAAGCGTGTGCTACTGAACATTTACTGGACTTACACATATACAACATGCCAATGTCTATGCTATGCACCAGAGTGTGTTGTTGTGAGTGTGTGTGTGTGTGTGTGCATGCGTGTGGGAGGAGGAGAGGGGGGCTGGGAAAGAGAGTGGCCCGCTTTCTTATCTCCAACCCTTGGCGATCAAAACTACCTAATACAAGGGGAAATCAAATCCATCCCTATCTAATTAGCTTTTAACTTCGCGCTTGGGAACATTTCTGTTCCGAGAATAACCCTGTCTCATGTTTGAATTGAAAAGTTAGAGATACACTTCCCATATATTCTTTGCCTGCTCCTAGCTAAGTCTCAGTGGGCACACAGAAATCTTGAAAACTTGCAGCTCCACGATACAATTTGTTTTGTTTCCATGTTTATTTTTTTCAATAAGAATGGGGGCAGTAAACTTAAACAAAGATGTACCCCGGAAGCTTACTGTTTCTGGTTTTGTTGGGGAGTGAAGTGAGCTGCTTCTTCACTCAAAGACTCCCTCTCTGCTTCTCTGCCTGAAATCTCAGGAGTTCCCTCCTGAGCAGTATTCACAGGGACTAAAATTACTGGGCTGGGACACTTGCTTGGGAATAAATCCCCTTCTTCGTCTGCTGCAGTTCTCCGAGAAATAGCCTTTGAACCAGCTATGGAGCTCTCAAAAGCAGTAGAATGGGAAGTGACTTAAAAGAGGAGGAATACCTAAAGGAAGATAAGTAACAAACTCCTCACAGTTGAGTGTCTAGGAGCAATGTCATAAAGGTTAATATGTATATGTTAATAGATAGATAGATAGATAGATAATGAATGAGTGCAATAGAGTCTGACAAAATTTGTTTTGAGAGTTATCTATGCACTTCCTTCCTGCACCTCCATTAGGAAAGAATTAATGTCCAAAGTTAAGACTTTTTTTTTATCCTGTGCTCTCTTCCCTTTCTTCTGGACAGCCACCTCTGACCAAGTTTCTTTCAGTTATGTGGGGCTTACACTGTTTCTTTTATTTGTAGATTCTCTTCCGCTCTGCTCTAATTGCTTTGGACTCCAGAACTTAAGCGAAACACCTACCTACCTACCTATCCATCTTCTACCTATCTCCCTCTATTGATTTCCCTTAATTTCCCTTCCCTTTGGACGGTAGGGATGAGAGGAGGAGCTGTGGCTACCTCTTTATCATTCTTTAAATGAATTTTCATGGAAATTATGGCACCTGGAGGCAGTCTTTGATCACAAAGAAGGTGGGGAGAGTGAGTGAAAGAAAAACTATCTACAACTTCCTCTTCAGGCAGGCATTCAATTACGCTTGAGTTTCATTAAAAATGTAGCTCTCTCTTTTCAAATATTTAAGCCCCCCAGACATTATACAACTGGCTGCATTTGCTGAATATGCCTTTGGCTAAATTGGCACAGAGGTATCATGCCTGTATCACTGTGTGGAGGGGGGAGGGGGAGAGAGGTGTGGAAAAGAAATTGAAATCCAGATCTATTGAAAAAATTTGGGGAGAGAGGGTCAGTTTGATAGTGATTGCATTGTGTGAGTGTGTGTGCACACACACGGATGAGTGTGAGTGCCAAGACACCTTTCTAAATCACCCCTAGTGAGTGACAGCCAACATTGCCTTCTACAATAAATCTCAGCACTTTCAGTTGCAGAAAGTTGGCTAAAGAGAGGAACTAAGTCTAGAGAAGTTCCTACAGATAATATGACAAACAAACAAACAAACAAGCCAGGCAGCGCCTTTGAAGCACAGCTTAAGCAGTGCAAAAAAAGTTTTAAGGAAGTTTCTGGCTCTACTGCCTGCAGCTTCAGATTAGAAGAAAAACATTTCCTGCTCTATCTGGGTAGCCATCTGTCACCTAACGCGATTGGGAAGAATGGAGGGGGTGGTGGAAACAACTTACTATTGCAGGAATTCATTCTCTGCATCCAAGGATATACTGGCGTGGAGCACTTTTGATCCTCGTTGTCCCCGAAAACGTGCTTGCTCTGTGAGCATTCTGACTTCCGGGCTTGTTCCTGGCCGAACTGGACAGGCTCCTCTAGGCTCGAAAGAGAACAGCCTGTCTCTTTCTCCCTGTAAAAACCAGATGTCCCGTAATCGCAGGCTGGACTCCGGTTGTAAGCTCCGTTGGTTTGCTGGTAGTAAGGCGCGCCCGCGTAACCTTTCTCCTGGACCCCACCGCCCCCAGTTCCATACGTGCTGGGATAGTGCCTTAAAGGATCCGCGTAGCCCGTGGAATATAAGGGGAGCTGTCCCAGGAACGGTTCTTGACCCCCGGCTAAGCTCACCGGAAAAGTAGAGTTGACAAAATAAGAACTCATTGGAAATAACAATAACAATAACAATAATAATAGTTAACCAGAAGAACAGCGTCTGTTCTTTCCCTTGCTCTTTATGATTTGTTGCGTTTTATAGTCCAAGCGGTTTAGCTATTAGCAGTATATGGGAGATTGGGTTTTAGCTGAAGGGGGATGGCCGCGTGCCAACCAGGGACATAAGGGAAGAGAACCATCTGATCACGCGCTGACCAATAGCAGGAGTCGGAGGCTGCGAAATAGCACCCTAGAGGGGTTAGCTCTGCACAGGGGACCCCCCAGAACAAACCAGTGAAAGCATCCCTGCCACCAACACTATCACCTTTAAACAACAGAAACGCCCCCCCCCCAAGCACCACCACTCTTTACCCCTGTTTCTTTCCCCACCCCGTTTATCACGTATTCAGTATCTACGAAAAGATAAATCCAAAGCTATTTGGGGATTATTATTATTATTATTATTATTATTATTAATTATTGTAATAAACAAACATGAGAAAGGTGAAAGATATGAAGAATGACATCAATCTTATCCTTGCTGCTCCCGTGGAGAGGAAGGAGGAAAACATGGGAAATATTTTCAATTTGAAAAGTTTGTGGTTTTCATATAAGTACCTGGAGGAGAAGGACGGGAAGGCGTATTATCTCTCCCCCCCTCCCCACACATCTTTGGTTTCAAGTGGGGGAAATGGGGAGCCTTTTACTGTACAGCCAGTTCAAGTGGTCAATTGCTGGATCTGGAGAAGGGAAATAAATTCCAGCGAATTTATTCCTCTTGGTGTGTCCTCTGAGCTCAGGACGGAGCTCCCCATCAAGAATTTTAAACTCCTCGGGAGGTACGACCAGGCATCTGGAGGATGAGGCTACAATTTATTCTCCCCACACCCTTCCTATCTGCACCTCTCCTATACTCCTACACGGATATGTTTCTACCCTCACGTCTCCGAACTAATCAAATCCCTCTCGTGTAAGTTTGAAGCCCCGTGTCCGAGAGAGACACTGCCGGTGTCGCTCAGCTCCCACGACATTGTGCGCAAAGAACGGTGCCCTCTTGCGTTTTTATGGTTCAGGCCGGATCTTTGGACAGGTTAGAGTTAAAGGCAGCGTCTGGTCTGACTGCCAACCCCCCCTCCGCGCCCCTTATTGATCACCTAACATCAGAAATTATTAAATTTAAAGCAGGGGATCCCGGGTTGAGAGGCGTCAGGATGGTTGATATGAGCTTTGGGGGAAGAGGGGAAATTCCGGTTTTCTATTTTGTGAGTTTGAGTTTGCAGTAAATTCGGGAATAAAATTAAATTCTCTTATAATTCGTTGATCTGCTTTAAAACTTTTTAAAAAGATAACTATGAAGGGAATGAAAAAGTTGATCTAAAGACTGGAGTTTGGCGTTTGACTTCCTCTTCGCCTCACCAGTTCTCAGTTAGCGGGAGAGCCTCGCTCTCCAGCAATAAAATTACCCTGCCTTTGGCGCGGTTATGACAGATAGTAAAAAAGATGTGTCCCTTTCCTCCCCTCTCCCCAATTCCATTTCTTTTCTGTGCAACTGTGATTTCAAGCAATCTTATAAAAATGTTCCAGGTTCTTCTACAACAACGAAGTAGTTTCAAATTGTAAAATGCTACTTGCCCTTCGTATCATTTTGCCATCATTGTCATTCTCATTCTCTCTCTGTGTGTGTGTCTCTCTCTCTTGCTCCTTTTTACCGACCAATTTATCCATCCCTTCATCCAGCTCATCTTCCATCTTTTCGTAAAAAATAGCCATTACAGCGTGCTATTTTCGATTCTCAAAAACTTTGAAGCACTGTTTACAGATCTCACCCCCTTTATCTCCCATCTACAAAGTACACATCTCTTTCCAAATTCACCTCCTGATTCTCTACCTATCGACAGGATTTCCCTGAACTTTTGGACAAATGTAACTGTAATGCAAGCCATCTCTCTGTTATCCCTCGATTACAGATGTGCAATCTGTTCATAAGAATTCTCCACCACACACTCCCAATTGCTCCCAGGCCGGATTTTCATGGCAATGCTATCCCTGCAATGACCAATGCAATTTTTTTTTTCTGTCAAGGATTAAGGAACCACAAAATATGTTGGCTTGCTATCTTATTTGCTAGTCTCTGTTTTAATGGCATAGAAACCCATATGATCCCAACACCACTACAATGTGGTGTTAGAATGAAAGGAAATTGCAAGCAAGGGGAGTAATTTTTGTTTGTTTGTTCAAGGCACTCTCTTTTCTTTTCTCTCCCTTTCACACACACACACACACACACACACACACACACACACACACACACAC